ATAACCATTTGTTCTTGTGCCCACATTGGCACTTAACTTAAATAACTCCTCTCCCTCCCTGGTATTTATCTCTCAGATGTATTTATAGAGAGGAATCATAGCCTTCTTTTGGTTAGGCTAAACAAGCCAAGCTCTTTGAGTCTCCTTTCATAAGGTAGGTTTTCCATTCCTTGGATCATCCTAGTAGCCCTTCTCTGTATCTGTTCTAGTTTGAATTCATCTTTCTTAAACGTGGGAGACCAGAATTGCACACAGTATTCCAGTCGAGGTCTTTCTCCTCCTCTGTTGTTTCCAACTGATAAGTCCCCAGTTTATCGCAAAAATTCTTTAGTCCTTAAATGCATAACCTTGTACTTTGCAATATTAAATTTCATCCTATTTCTTATTGACTATATCTTCCAACTTTGTGTCATCCACAAATTTTATTAGCGCACTCTCACTTCTTTTTGTGCCAACATCAGTAATAAAAATGTTAAATAAGATTGGTCCCAAGTCTGATTCCTGAGGGACTCCACTAGTAACCTCTCTCCAGCCTAATAGTTCATCTTTCAGTACGACCTGTTATAGTTTCCCTTTAAGCAGCTCCTTATCCACCTTTCAATTCTCATTTGAATCCCCATCTTCTCCAATTTAACTAATAATTTCCCATGTGGAACTGTATCAAATGCCTTACGGAAATCCAGGTAGATTAGATTTACTGCATTTTCTTTGTCTAAAGACCAAGTTATTCTTCTCTCACTCCAGGAGTCCTGCTTTCTCTTCATGACTTGTCCCTCTGGCTAGATCACCCACTGATTTCTCTTTCTGGGACCCCTTTCCAAGTCTCTCCCGACAAACAGCATTCAACAGCACTCACGCCTGCTACCCTGCCTCTGTCCCTCTTGCTGTGACTCACACAGTCTACTAGTTCACTGCCCCTGGCAGTACAACTTGGCAGTGGTTGATAAGGGAACCCAGGTCCCCCCTCTTCTCTGGGTTCCAGTCCAGGGCCCTTTACCAAGCAGTCAACGTCTGCAGCCTTCCTAAACTTACTGTTTTTGCCCCAGACTACTTCCTACCTTGCTTCCACTCATTCTAGTCAGACCCCTCTCTCCTAGAGTTGTCTAGGTCTCAGGAATTCCTATTCCTCCTTCCCTCACGGAGATTGATTGCCATTCTTCACTTTGCAGCCCCTCGTCTGTTGCCAGTCTTTTGGCTTTCTGTAAGCCCCGCCTGTTACCTCACAGGGTGAGCTTTCATCCAATTAGTGGCTGATTTGATTTGCCTGGTATGGGGAGTATACCCCATCGCAGTCTGTTTATTCTAATTGATACCATGTAAATAGACATGGCAGAAATAGAGGCTTTTTTAATTCAGTAGATCTTCCTTGAAACATTTTTCAGTGATATCTAAAATATGAATGACTTATTAAAAGTAAACTGAATATGATTTTGTAAAACAACCAGAATCAGGTTTTTAATGCAAACCCATTAGAATTTTGTGTAGCTATGGAAAAAAGTGCAATTATTCCAGGAAATGTATCTCTTAATTAGCATCAGAGCTTCCATTCAGGGCTGGCTCTAGGTTTTTTGCCGCCCCAAGCAAAAAAAATTTTGGCTGCCCCCCGTCCCAGCCCTGGGCTCCTTGCCGCACCCCCCTGCTGCCCGAGCCCTGGGCTCTCCCCACCCACCCTGCTGCCCCAGCCCTGGGCTCCCTCATTCCCCCCCCACACCTCCTGCTGCCCCAGCCCTGGGCTCTCTCCCCCCTCCCCCACCTGCACCCTCCTTCCGCCGCAGCCCTGGGTCACTGGTAACTCGCTCCCACGGCAGGTCATTCAGCATGAATTTTAGATGTGCACAGAACACAGACAGGATTGGTTCCCATATAGTTACAGAACTGCAGTAAAATGGAACAATTTTCAGCTTGTGTGACTGGAGGATATCTGGATGCATATTATAAGACTGTCCTACATAAATGAGGAAAAGTTGAGGTGCCTTTATTATTCTTTTCTTCCACTCTTTGTTTCTATGGGGAATTTGCCAATGCAATATCACTGTCTTCCTTTTAAACAAACAAACAAACCAAACAAAAA